TTGATTCAAACCTGCCAAGAAAACATAAACACGATCGTTTTCTTCTCTTTTTTTGTGTTGGATACTGTCATTAGGACACTCCCAATCATCTTCATAGCAAAGATCCAATTCCTGCCACAAGGATACAAGTTCATTATAAAACATAGTAACATTCCGGTCCCCTTGTTTGGCTTTCCACAACTTTGTTTTCAGTTCAAAAATTTGAGAAGAATTTTCGATGTCAGAATACATCTCAAGAACTGCATCCCACACATCTTTGGCTGTCGGCAGAAACATGTGTGGTTTTCCAATGGCTGGCTCCATTGAATTGATTAACCACGCAGTGACTAGAGAGTTTTCTGACCTCCATGACGCCATCTTCGGATCTCCTGCAGCCGGCATGGTTGTTTCTCCAGTCAAATGGCCAAGCTTCCCTCTGCCATCAATCGCCAATTTCACGGATTGAGCCCATTCCAGATAGTTTTGACCACTCAGCCTATGGTTTGTTAGTTGGAAAGGTATATTCGAACCCAGAAAATTTTCACCACTGCTGGTTGTTCCTCCGCTGCTAGTTGTACCTCCTCCACTGGTCACCGGAACTGTGTTCTATGACTGTGCATCTTCAGCCGCAGCACCACTTGAACCAGTCATCGCTCGCTTGTAATTCATCTAGGGTAGAATAATTTTTAGAGCCGTGGCTCTGATACCATGAAGGCATTTTAGGAGAGAATTGAGCACTCTTTTTCCTCTTCTAATTCTTACATAAACCGGCATCCTTATATAGATGAGCCAGAGAATAGCAAAATAAGGAAAGTAAAACAAATAAGTAAACAAATCAAAATAAACGGAAACTGCATAATATTCTAATCCCTTGACTTTAGCTATCAATCCTCATCATTCCTCTATATTTGGACAGAATTAGGACAGCTATACATTCCTAATTTACCGACAGATATAATGGATGTTGTAGCTTTGAGGAGATGGTAATCTTATAAGGAAATGGGTTCCGTAGTGTGGTTTAGAGATGACGTTTTTGGTGTTTTGTGTTTCAGTATGCACGGTTTTAGAATTGGAAGAAGGCAAGGAATGCATTGTTGTTGGAACCTTGTACAAGCACATGAAACTCAAATCTTCTATTCTTGATGAGTACTCTAAAGAGGTATGGTTGTCATCAAGGAATGTGGTGCCAATTTCTTGATAGTATATGTTTTTGACAATTGGTTTTGGAGATGAGATTAGGATCTTTGTTACCGTAAAGTATGCAATTTCTGTTTACAGAGATCTGCTACCCCACTTGTGAAGCCACATAATTTTATGCACCCAGATGACCGTCTGATCTTGGAAGATGAAAGTGGAAGAGTTAAGCTTGGGGGAAGTGTTCTTTCAGCTTCTGTCTATGTTACAGGTATCTATCATAGAGTTAACATATAACATTATCACAAATTACAAGGCTAATTTTTATGATGGCATCTTCATTTGTCTTAAGCTAACGTGAAAAGACATTACTTTTGGGTCTGGATACATATAAGTCTTGTAGATTTGATCATGATACATTATTGCATCGGTAAATATCTGGAATTCTCTTCCATTTCTTTAGACCGTAACATGTGTGGTTTTTTCTCCTTTAATGCTCCTTTTTTTGCATATTATTTTTACACATTTAGCAGTTTTCGAATTGTTTCTTTTTCCCTTAGAAATTTCAACATCTTATACCTGACAATAACAATGCAATGTCAATTATGATGCACGCAGAGCTTGTTATTTGTGGACTAACATGGTACAAGTGCAGGGGTGGTTGTCGCTTTGCATGGGAAGGCAGGTGCTGGTGACTTTTCAGTTGAAGATGTCCTCGAAGCTGGCCTGCCGCCCCAGATAGAGCGGTCACTTAAATCACGTACAATCTTGGTTACCTCTTCTTCTGCTTTAATCTTTTAAACTAAGTGCCTTTGTTGCCTTCTATTTATGGAAAGAAAAACTACCGAGTAGAATCATAGAACTTCAGAGCAAAAAAAAGTAGAATCATAGAACTGCTAGGAATATAATGCTTGGCTTGACTCCTTGCAGAAGAAGACAAGTATGTTGTTTTTGTGTCTGGGTTACGAATTGGGAGCAGCATTTCTAACCCCCTTCAATTTCAGCTTCTTGTTGATCACATAACGGGACATCTAGGAGATGAGAAGGTTCTCAATTCTTTCCAATTTAATGCTGCTCAAGAAATGACAAATGTCTCGATACTCTAACTTCATGGAACCATAAATTGAACAGGAACAAGGTATTGCAGCGCAGATAGTTCAAGTTGTAATTGCTGGGAACTCTGTTGAAATTCCTCGTGGATTTCTTAATGGACAGGTAGATGTCTTTAGATTTATAGTCACCCTGTCTTTGCTATATTTTCATCTACCTGTAGTGAATCTTAGACGTAAGTTTTAGTTAACTACCCATTTCTTTATGGAGGGGAACATGTGAAAGCTGGAATATTGCTTTCTATTTTCTATATTGAATGAATAATTTGGTACATTGGGGTTCCTAATTTATAATACAACTATGAAAATCAAATCTCCTAGAACTTAGGCCTAGAGATCAGGAAAGTGATATATTTTAAATTAAATCAAATCAGGAAACAATCTATCCTGAATAGGGAACATTATCCCTAACAATAACTAACATTATCCCTAACCATAAATTCGGGATTTCAACACTCCCTCTCAAGTTGGATCATATATGTTAATCATTTCCAACTTGCTTAAGAAGTCATCAAATTTTTGTCTTGCGAGTCCTTTGGTGAAGATGTCTGCAACTTGATCTTGAGTAGGAACATAGGTCATACAAATGATTCCCTTCTCTACCTTTTCTTTAATGAAATGTCTATCCGCTTCTACATGCTTGGTTCGGTCATGTTGGACTGGATTGAGTGATATATTAATTGCCGCTTTGTTATCACAGTAGAGTTTAACCGGGAATTCTACTATAATTTGGAGCTCCTCTAGTAGTTTTCTCAGCCATAGTGCTTCACATATTCCTTGGGCAACTACTCTAAAGTCCGCCACAGCACTGCTCCGAGCCACCACATTTTGTTTCTTGCTCATCCAGGTTACTAGATTCCCCCATACAAACATACAGTATCCAGAAGTAGATTTCCTATCTTCAATTGAACCTGCCTAGTCTGCATCTGTATAGACTTCTATCCCTCTGCAGCTAGTCCTTTTGAAAAATAATCCTCTGCCAGGTGATCCTTTGAGATACCTAAGTATCTTGTATACTGCCTCCAAGTGAGCTTCCTTTGGTGAGTGCATATGTTGGCTAGCCACACTAACTGCAAATGCAATATCAGGTCTAGTATGGGACAAGTATATTAGCTTACCTACTAGTCTTTGATATTTGTCTTTATCAACCAACTTTCCATCGTCTACCATCTTCTTCCCTGCTTCAATCGGGGTCACTTGGTTTGCATCCAAGCATACCTGTTTCTGTGAGAAGATCAATGACATATTTCCTCTAGGAGACATTGATTCCTTTCTTTGACCTAGCAACTTCCATTCCCAAAAAATACCTCATTTGCCCCAAATCTTTCACTTCAAACTCCGTAGCAAGAATACTCTTCAACCTCTCCATTTATGCTATATTATCACCAGTAAGGATTATATCATCCACATAGACTATTAGGATCGCCCTCTTCCCATCTTTGGCTTGTTTGAAGAACATGGTATGATCTGATTGACCCTGTAAATATCCTTGATCCTTTATCACTTTTGCAAATCTGTTGAACCACGCTCTTGGGGACTGCTTAAGGCCATAAAGTGATCTCTTGAGTTTACACACTCGCTTGTCTTCCTGCCCTTTACTGAATCCCGATGGCATGTCCATATAGACCTCTTCTTCTAATTCTCCGTTCAGGAAGGCATTCTTGATGTCGAGTTGCTGAAGCGGCCAATCTAGATTAGATGCCAAGGATAGAAGAACCCGACCCGTGTTTAGCTTTTGTCACAGGAGCGAATGTCTCGGTGTAGTCGATGCCATAGGTTTGTGCGAAACCCTTGGCAACGAGTCGAGCTTTGTATCGTTCTACTGTTCCATCCCCTTTGTATTTGAGGGTAAATACCCACTTGCAACCCACTGTTTTCTTCCCTCTCGGTAGCTCCATTACATCCCACGTCTCATTTTTCTTGAAAGCTTTCATTTCCTCCATGACAGCATTTCTCCACTCCAGAATGGCTAGTGCCTCCTGCACATTCTTTGGAATTTCTGTATTGTTGAGATTAGAGACAAAGGCTTGGAAACCATTAGACAAGTTTTCTTGTGACACAAACTTGGAGATGGGATGAAGTGTACATGATCGTGGTTTTTTCCTGTGAGCTATGGGAATATCAATATCCGGGATTTCAGGGGTTTTAGAGATACCTTCTTCTGTGATGGTCTTGGTCATACCTGGATCTATCACCGGGTTGGATTCTCTTGGTGCTTCGGAAGTGAGGTTGTCTTGATATTTTGACTTTGGCCTTCTTGAGTAGACAAGCAGCTCCCTGTTCTTTTGCTCTCCCACATCTCCCCCTGACTTCAAGTGTCCTTCTGTATATGGCATATTAGAATGAGAAGGAAAGGTAGTGGTGTTTTCAGTGTTTAGGATAGACTCAGAAAGAAGAAGTTCAAAGTCCACAAAATGATCTTCATTAGAGATCTCCCCTTGAAGAGAAGTTTTGTGGAAGAACGGAGTGTTTTCAAAGAAGGTAACATCAAGACTAGTGAACACCCTCTTTGTGGAGGGGGCAAAGCATTTGTAGCCCTTTTGTGTAGGGGAATAGCCAATGAGGACACACTTAGTAGCTCTAGGATCTAATTTACTCCGATGCTGAGAGTGGACGTGAACAAATGTAGTGCAGCCAAACACCTTGAGGGGTAAAGGTGAGGGTAGGCGTGAAGTGGGAAAGGCTTTCTTTAGAGTATTGAGTGGAGTTTCAAAGGAGAGGATTCGACTGGGCATCCTATTGATAAGATAGGCAGATGCTAAGATAGCATCTCCCCAGAACATTTTAGGCATATGGGCAGTGAACATCAATGCTCGGGCAACCTCAAGCAAGTGTTTATTTTTCCGTTCAGCTACTCCATTTTGTTGGGGAGTGTCGACATAAGAACTTTGGTGAATTATGTCTTTTGCCATTAGAAAATCCCCTAAGATAGTGTTAAAATACCCCGTCCCATTATATGGTCGCAAAATCTGAATTTGAGTTTAAAATTGCGTTTGAACCATGGAGTAAAAATTTTTGAACACTCCACGGACATCCGTTTTTTCTTTCAAAAGGTAGACCCAACAAGTTCTACTATGATCATCAATAAACGTGACGAACCATTTTGTGTGAATACGAGTAGAGATACAAGGACCCCATAGGTCACTGTGAATCATGGTAAATGGTTTCAAGGGTTTATACTTTGATTTTTTAAATGAAGTACATTGATGCTTAGCAAACTGACAAATTTCACATTGGAAAACGGAAATATCTTTATTGGAGCAAATAGAAGGAAACAAATGTTTCATGTACGGAAAACTAGGATGACCCATTCTAAGATGCCATAACATAATTTCACTATTCCTAGAAGTATATGCAGAATCACAAATTGTAGTTTGAAGCTGTCCACTCGCCTGAGCCTCATCAAAGTAGTAGAGTCCCTCATATTCTTTAGCACTGCCAATCATCTTCCCCGACGACAGGTCCTGAAAAACACAGTGAGAGGGAACAAATTTAGCAGAGCAATTGGAATTTTTTGTCAATTGGCTAATCGATAATAAATTGCAAGACAAGCTTGGGACATGGAGGACGGATTCTAGGGTTACAGAATCGGAGATTTATACTGTCCCTTTTCCTGCAACTGTCGAGAGTGAACCATCTGCAATTTTTACTTTGATGTTGCTGGCACAAGGTGAGTATGTGGAAAAAATATGATAATTACTGGTCATATGATCAGACGCACCAGAATCGACAATCCATGGATTTCTGTTTTTTGAAGTGGTGCTCAGGGCCTTTAAAAAATTACCTCTGTGGGCTAGTGTACCAGAAGGTACGTTATTGGAGGACTGACCAGTAGATTGGAAGTTTGAGAACATCCTATAAAGTTGTTCCATCTGTTCCTGACCGAATGAAGTCTTGGCTTGAGACTCATTGCTGCTGGCATCCACCTTCTGCTCCTTCTGATCATCAACCGAGGCTTGATATCCTCAATTCTTGTTCATCTGCCGTGGCTTCCAATCGGGTGGTTTTCCATGCAACTCCCAGCAAGTATCCTTGGTGTGGCCGGTTTTATGACAGTGCTCACACCAGGGTTTTTTCCTTTGTTGGCTCTGGCCTGGTCCATTCGACGTCCTCCTAGTCAGCAGCGCAGAAGATTATGGTCCAGAACCAGTCGGTCCAGAGGGGGCAGGGGTTTTCAGCATTACCTTGCGCCTATTTTCTTCTCGTCTCACCTCTAAGAAGACTTCACGGATGAAGGGTAGCGGTCTCCGACCAAGGATCCTTCCTCTTACCTCATCTAGCTCACGGCTGAGTCCAGCCTGAAACTCGAAAACTCTCTCGTTCTCCAGCCTTTTCTTGAATCGCACGCTATCGCTAGGGCATTCCCATTCTTCCTCATTACTCAGATCGAGTTCCTGCCAAAGAGCCTTCATCTCTGTGTAATATTCGGTGACTTCCCTCTCTTCTTGCTTCATCTGCCATAACTAATCCCAGACTTCTTTTGCGGTTGGTAGGAACATATAGGTTTTTCCGATTGAAGGCTTCATAGAGTTGACCAACCACGCGGTTACCATTGAATTCTCTGATTTCCACTTCTGCAGAGAAGCATCATTGGAGGATGGTTTCTTTGTTTCACCGGTGAGGTACCCCAGTTTGCCTTTTCCATCGATCACCAATTTGATTGATTGAGCCCACTCGAGAAAATTCTTCCCGTTGAGTTTCTCAACCGTGAATTGGAAGGTAGAGTTCTCAGATCCGTTCGACGCCATGGTGTTGATGACCTCTGTCGTCGTCTCGCCTGTGGTCTCTGAGGACGTGGACTTTGCCATCGATTGCCAAGGTTAGACACTCCTCGACTCTGATACCATGAAAGCTAGAATATTGCTTTCTATTTTCTATATTGAATGAATAATTCGGTACATTAGGGTTCCTAATTTATAATACAACGTTGAAAATCAAATCTCCTAGAACTTAGGCCTAGAGATCAGGAAAGTGATCTATTTTAAATTAAATCAAATCAGAAAACAATCTATCCTGAATAGGGAACATTATCCCTAACAATAACTAACATTATCCCTAACCATTCGGGATTTCAACAACATGGTTTAAAATTTTCTTTTTCTGATGAGATTTATGACGTGTCCAATTTTGTTACTGATGATTGACTATTATACACATTTCCTTATGTGGTCTCTTTTGTTTTCCCTCAGAATTTGGCTTCGCAAGATCAATCAAGGTTGTCTGAGCCAATCAAAGAGCTCGATATTTTGTTGACTCAGGTTCTTTCCTTGTTTTTATTATTAAGTCACCTCTATAATGTCCCTTTATCATGAATTGAATTGTTCATATTTTACTTGTTTTAGATTGCTGCAGGTTTGCCTATAGAAATCATGCCAGGTTCCGACGACCCTGCTAACTTTTCCTTACCACAGCAGGTTGTTGTATGTCCTTGTTAGTATTCAGTCATTATTTATTTTTTTCCTGATAAATGTTTTCGTTGCTAATACCCTCTTGTATTTCAGCCTTTGAATAGGTATCTTTTTCCAGGATCATCAGCCTATAACACGTTCAGATCTTGTACTAACCCTCACTGCTTCGAGCTTGATAATATCAGGTAAACTATAGACACAATTTGACGTTGTTATATTAATCGAATGGACTTTACTTTAACATGGTTTGTCGGTTGATTTCAGGTTTCTTGGAACATCAGGTCAAAATATAGATGACCTTGAGAAGTACTCAAAAGCAAAGGATAAGCTTGAATTTATGGAAAGAACGTTAAAGTGGAGGCATCTAGCACCAACAGCACCTAATACTCTTGGTACAACCTCACCTTTTTTTTTTTTCATCTGTTTAGTCTGTTAGTCAAAACACGTACGCTACACATCGCATTTAACTTGTTTGCCTTGGAGAATTTGACTATCTGCATTACCGGCCAACTTGGTAGTACTATACATTGTCCAAAAATATGATAATTATAAATCAGGAAAACTGGTTGATGTATTGACCTTTTCACGGTATTTCTTTTACTGCGTCGCGCACGGCTGATTGATAATCCGGTTATTTGTATCTTGCAGGGTGTTATCCTTTCACTGACATGGACCCCTTCTTGATTGAGATTTGTCCTCATGTTTACTTTGTTGGTAATCAGGACAAGTATGATACTCGTTTATTAACAGGTATTCTCATCTGCAGTCATCACCATCAACTAGAAAAGAAAAAGTGCTTTTCACGTTTGAAAGTAAACAAGAAAAAGATTTCATGTGTTCTTTGCTTCTACCCTTTCATTTAACAATTTATTGAACTCTAGGGTCAGAAGGGCAGATGGTCAGACTCATTTGCATCCCAAAATTTTGTGAGACGGGAATTGCCGTCGTGGTAAGTTGTAGCATTCAAAAAACTTTTTATCCTACCTTTTTTTTTTCCTTTTTTGGAAAACTAAGGACCTGTTTAGTTCGCTGATTCGAGTTTTTAATTTGAGTTGAGATGTGACTTATGTGAGAGCTTTATATTATAGTAAAAAAGTTAGATGTGATTGTTTCTGAGAGCTTTTTACTATAGCAAAACTCGAATCGGTGAACTGAACGGGACCTAAGTTATGAATCTACGGGGAATCTAAGTATCATCATCTATTCTTACTACATCATACTTTTATTTTTATTATATTTCTCCCCCTTTTGTACGTAGTTCACAGCACAGATAGATAAAATGGATTAAGATTCTTTGATCCTGAGTAATTTGATGTTTTCCTATTTGCAGCTGAACACGAGAAATCTCGAATGCCATGCTCTCAGTTTTGGGACTCAATTTATATCATGACATGGTGTCCAATGGAAACAACGGTAAGTAGAGTAATACGAAATGTTAGTAAACTTTTGAATGCAAAGAGAGGGTAAAATTTTTTAAGAAAACCTGCATCCAAGAAAAGAATATACAAGTTGAAATTTCGCATCACGAGTAAAATTAGGCAGAATGAGAGTAAAATTTGTTGGTAATGGCACAGATATCAGTTCTTTAGCCTGTTCGTTCGTGATCTGTTTTTAGTTAAGTAGTTATTCCCTCAAAATTATTCAATTAACATGGAGTATCTGTATTTTTTAGGTTTCAAAATCTATAAAAGCAAATTTGGGGAGCCAAATCGTGAGCAGTTGCATTCGAAATATTTTTTTTATGGAACGCTAGTTAAGAGTTTTGTTGTACTATCTTTTCAGTGACTTGTTTTCAAACTGGGAATTCAAGGACATTTTCTGCTCCAGTAAATACTATCAATGCTTTTAATGTAGTTTTTGACTTGGGATTTTTTTTTTTTAACCATGCTAATTAGTTCAGTCAGATAGAACAGTTGACCATGCGCGGTGTAGACACGAGAGGTAGGTCCTACACATGCGCATTTGATAAAAACTTCTAGAGTGCCATGAGGACTATTTTTTTCTTTAAGCTACTTTTACTGTCATGAAACATCACATATTATAAGTAATGCATAACGTTGAATTTAAGCATGATCAGGGATGATATAAATGTTAGCCTAAACCGTAACATGGCTTCAATGGGGCCCTAAAAGGCTAAAAGTATCAAATGAAATCTGTGTAATGTTGCTGAAAAGGACGGGTCCTTTCTCATAGATGTTTGACATAAATATCTAAGTTTTGCGCCAATGTTGACAGAGGTCTGAGCTTATCAGTACTTGACAGCAATGTTGTGTTGGAGAGGCTTTGTACATAATTTGCATTTTATTCATGATGTAAACCAATTCCAAAGCAAAACCATCAAAGATTAGTAATTATTAAAAAAAAAAAAAAAAAAAAAACTCAGAGATAATATATTATCTAGTAATTATTAAAAAGAAAAAACCCAAGAAGTAATATATTATCCTCTAAATAGCGAATCCCGAGTAATAAATATGGCCTAAAGTAATATAGCAACGTACTGTCCATTATATTATGAGAATGAGACGCATTTACTAATAAATCTCTTTTTCTTTTCCATTCTCAATACGTTTGCATCGGTCAAGCCTCAGCTAAGTCGTTTGGCATCGACCTGAAGAAAACGTACGAGTAGTGAAATGAGACTAGAAAAAAAAAAGTAAAATCTCTACTAACAATTGCGATGAAACTGAAAAGAAAAAAAAGAAGTAAAATCTCTAACAACAGTTACACATATCTCTTTTATTCATTTGCTACGATCACTTTGATCTCTCACGAAAAGAATTATAGGAAATTGATATTTCCCTAAAAGAAAGGCCTTCATGCATGCCATGATCATCCTTGCTGAAAGAAATAGCAAAGTTGAAATATTATACATTGCTGTTGAGCAAAATAAAAACTACCCAACAACATTAATCTTATGTTTTAGTTCTTAAACGATCTCATAAAAGACAGAACTATATACATTCAAAGTAAAAAATTAAAGAAAGAAAACGAAAACCAAAGCAAATATGCATTACGTACCTCTGGTTCTTTTCTTTGGCATCTTCCTCTACTCGCTTCCAACCAAGTTCTCCAATGCTAGTATTATCAACTCCAACAAAGCTTCCCACACACTTGTGGCATTCCAATGGCATATGACGACCACTATAAACAACCCCCCACATTTTCTCAACCCGTTTCTTTCCCGATCATACCATATTAAAGTTTGATTATGTTGCAAGATCATAACCCCATCTCGACCATTCTTCTTCAAAGGCGCAACAATCCACACACTAGGACGATACCGCACCTCAAAAGAAACCAGCTTAGTCCAAGACTCGCCAACCCCGTATTCTTTCATTTCCCAGACTTCAACATGCTCTGAGTCGTAGCGATTCAAAATAACACGAAGAGACCCTTCTAACACAAAGAAACCCTTCAATAACGCCCAACTCTTTGTCAGCAAAATTTCCCTCATACTCGGGTAAAACCACCTTACGAGACTCCTCAGTCACGAGATTAAACGACAGTATAGTCTCTTTGGGTTTGTAAGCCCAAATGTGCTTTCGTGATGACACCAACCAATGCAAATTGTTATTTGAAAGAACACCATTATCCCCACGTCGAATTATACTACCATCAGGCAATTTAAGGTTTATTGTAATATTGCTCTTCCAAGTGTTGGATTTGGCACTATAAACATTGATGAAATAATTCTCACGGTCTCTGTAGTTCTTAAGATTGAACACCAGCCTAACCAAATTATAGTCGTCGTTGATGGGGTCGCGACCAAATCCAAAAAAGACAGTTTGGAATGTAGAATACTCACGTGGGATATCAGGAAGCTTCCGGAATCTTCCAGATCGTCGACGGGTAGCTGGCATAGTATGTCCAAGATTATGTCCGATGGGGGGATCGCCATTGGCGTTGGTCGGTTTGGAGGGTTTGCTTTAGGCTGATCAAAACTTTGGAGTCTCGTGTCAAAATGGATGAATTTGGGACTTTTTTTTTTTCTTTTAAAGAAGGAAAGTAATATATTATATTATTAGATAGAAAGTGTGATTGAGAAATGTTAGTCACTGTTAGTGTCATTGTTTCTGTTAATCTCTATATTTATTATTTGACACGTGAATTTTATTATCTTTTTTTCTATTTAAATAATAATATATCATGTTAATTAAGTCTACATGTCAAATAGAGAATGCAGCGATTAATAGAAGGGAAGTACTATTTATCCCAAGTGGGATAAACTCACGACCCACACGTTGTGTTTTGGAAGAGGATGCCAAACTCTCTGCACAGGAAAGGAGTTTTGGCTGAGGTTGATGACTTGAAGCCTATTTTGGAGCCAAGGTGACACCGACGACTACGGAAAATCTATGAAAAATTAGAGTTTAAAAAGCGACGTTTCTACTTTCTCTCTTTTTTTTTTTTTTTTTTAAATTACAAAATAAAAGAAGTACATGTGGGGAGTACACATAGGATCTATTAGTTTCATAATCAAATTCAGATGCGGAAGCGTGAGGGTAGCGGATCGTGTATAACAAAAATTTTTATAAAATTTTTGAGATACTTTATAAATTATATTAATTTATGCATGAATAAATTAATCAAATTAATTTATTTAATAAGAACTCAATTAGGAATTATACATGACGGCTGATTAGGATGATAACTTCAATTCTTTGACCATGAACAATCATTGCTCCAAAGCTTTGTGTTTAGAAATCAATGTCTTCTATGTAAATTCTTAAAATCCACGAAGACGTGTGTGTGGGCACATATGAGACAAAACGGGTTAGAATAAACACTCAAATTTCCACAAACACCAACGCATGCACGATGTTGAATTTTTTGAGAAAATTTTTTCTTCCCACACTAAGAGAATTTTGGCCACACTAAAAAAAATAAGTAAAAATTTCTATTATTTTCTTATTTATAGAGTAGAAGTCAAACTTCTAGAAAGAATCCAATCTTTATCTACAAGATAAAGCTTGTTAATTATCTCCTATTTAAAATTGAAACAAAATCTCCCACTCCCTTATCCTTGATGTGGCCGGCCATCCTTTTGGGATCTTATCCCTGTGTGGCGCCAATTTCAGATAGAGAAGGAAGAGAAAATCATCATTTATCTTGTAATCTAATTCTGACTCAAAATTCAAATTCAAATTTAAGTCAAACTTAAATTAATTTGAATTATAAATTGAATAACTTATCAAATAAGTTTAAAATGATAAATTTAAATTGTGTTCACACTGTGCCTTGCGTTCACACTATGTGAACACCTTCACATAAGTGATCTAAAATTCAAATTTAAATAATCACATTATTTAATTTATAATTAATTCTCAATTAATTATTCTCGAGTGTTTAATTTTAGAATTTTGTAATTCTAAAATTTTCATTTTGCCCTTTGTGTCTTGTAGAATTACTAAGACGACGCGGGGACTAATGGACCTATAATCTCGAACTCCAATAAAATTAATAATTAATTACTTTAATTAATTAATTAATTCTATTAATTCCAATAGTTACTCCACTATAAACTTGAAATTGCACTCTCGAAATTATAGACATAAATTATTTCTAAACTGTAAAGTGTCCATTTGATATAGTCACTGCATATAGATTAATTCTCCATAAATAATTCATAATTAGAGCTAAGTAGAATCCGTTAACCTCTCTAATTATATCTTCATCCTTGAGTACCATTGATTCTCTAATTGATAGTCTGAGTTATAAAACACAGTCATGAACCAGAGCACTCTTACTAATCCAAGTACCGAATCAACACTCAAGAGAATTATTTATCTGCTTTTTTCTTAAGAATTAATAGATTCTATCTCGTATAATAACATTCCCGACTACCTACTTTATCATGTCTCCAAAATACAAGGAATAAGATTATGGGTCTCGAAATTCATACCGAGTAAATCAAAAGACACAAATCCATAAATAGGAATTTATTAAGAACTCAAGATTAAGATCATTCTATATATGACCATCGGTAGACTCAATTAGAATTTCTATACTTAACAGAAATGATTAAAAATTCATATTGTCTCTGTCACTGTTCCACATAATCTCATTATGCGTAATACATTCATTTAATATCTCGTCATATTAACAATGCGGATAACACCGTTCCATTCTAAATGAGAATGACATGTATTAGTAATGTTTTAATTAAAGATTCTGAACTTTAATTAAATTCAGTACGAACATTATTTTTTATTATTATCCTTAAATATTATCCTCTCACATATAACATTTATATACAATGTTTAAGGTCATATAAATGATCATGAAATTTTTAATGATAGTCATAAAATATTCACAAATATATACACATAAAATGATCAATAAACCTTTTTATTAAATAAATAATAAATATCCTATCACAATCTCATATTTTTAGGAAATTATTCCTAACAGGATCATTATTTCAACGATTTGGGATAAAAAGAGTTTCTATTGACAAAAAAAATTGTGTTAGCATTTCTCAACTGTGATTTGCCTTAAAAATAATGTTTTTTACACCAAGGGCGACAAACTTTTTAACCTTTGTTGTATCTTACTTTTGAGAATTTGGAGAATAGGTCTCGGATCTCCCTTTTTTTTTTCGCATCTCAGATCCTCAAAATTCTATTTTTTTTATTGAAAGATCCTCAAAAACTTGTTTTGTTTAAATGAAAATTATGGAACAAATTAAAAGAATTTAATTTTCGCATCTGTTATAATCAGTTACCTTTATTACTATTTTGTACTTAATTTAATAAATCAACAAAAAAGAAAATCAAATAACTTATAAAATCTCATCAAATTCAACATGTTGTAACGTTTGCTCGCT